GTGGGTGGGTATGAGATAATCACAATAGTGAAATTCAAAAGAACCCCACGTTTTCATCCCATTACGTGCCACTTACTTTGGTCCCAAAACTAGTGAGACTGCCCAATAGGCAATTCTGATGGAACATGTTATTATGGTTAATATGTATAGTTATAAATCTTGTCTAACAGAATGCTTCTTTTACTTTTTTTTGTTAGGAATAATACAATAGAAAGTTAAAATCTCTATTTTTAATGGCCATAATTATAATAAAAGGATTGCATTTGAATTGGTGGGTAGATTTCAATTTTGTCTGCTTGATTACACTTACAGAAAAATTAATCTATCAAAATTTTCATTGTGATATCTTTAGATAACACACCTATTGATAAACTCGAACTTGCTCCACCATGAGTGAATTTTGTTTTTACATGTATTAAGAGGCACATATTAGGGAGGTAGTTTTTGTATTTAGTTCACATAGAGTGAGAGCATATATAGGTTTAAGGTGTTATAGTAACTATTTGCAAAAGTAACCACTAGCTCAAGCTATGGGATCTTTTCTTTTAAAGTGGGATACTGAGTGCACCATAGGTGTTTTAGATTGTGGTTTCACATGCATCCAATCTAATGATTGTGGTGGAATAAATAGGATCTTTCTATTCTTGATTTTCGGATGAGTTCTGAATATAAAAAAAATCTTGTCATGGAGCATCTCCCCTATAGCGGATCTTACCATAATCATAATAGTTTATAGTTGTCGCGCTCACCAACTATCTAAGCAAGCACGAGGCCCTACTCGAGTGGATTCCTCCTTTTACTCCTCAGTCTATGGAGTATTAGAAGTCGTTTTCAGTTGTTTATCCCTGTTCAAAGGGGAGGTTCTTATGTGTTACTCAACTATCCACTACATTCCGTCCAACTTGCATGTGTCAAGCATCCCGCCCGCGTATAGTGTATAATATATACACACAAATTATACATTGGATACTTAACTACAATTTGTAAAAGAAAATATTGGGTTAATTATTGTTGGGACTTTGTTGATTAGCTATGTAGTGTAAAAATCCCAAAGAAAATCTTTAGTTTATTTTATCTTTTAGGACCAGGAATTTCGGGCGTCTAAGAAAATATAGTTCCACTAGGAGTAGATAGAAACCAAACCCCACATAGGACCACTTTTTTTTGCTTCATTGTTAATTCCCATTATGTAAAATTTTATCTTTATAAAGTCAAAAGAAAGCATAGTTGAATGCTTACAATGAAACAAATATATTACAGAGAGCATGCTTTGATACATATTGTTTTGGAATTTTGTGCTCACATTACCTTATGCTTATGCATACTTTGAATTTTTGGTACTACAAAATGGGGAGCTTTACTTTGTTGAAGCGGCGGAGATAAGTACATACCATATTCTTTATTATATGGAAACAATTGAGATAGATAATGTTTTTTTATTGGATGATAAAGTTTGGTAGAAAATAACACATAAACCTAAAACTCGAGAACATTAAATTAGACAAGTAAATGACTTTTTAGGTTAAATGATAACAATTAAGTGATTCTTTTGTTATAGTACAAAAATTAAAGAAAAGTAATTTTTGTAAGATAATTATCATTCATTGAGTGACCGCTCAAGCTGGTTATTGTGACATAATTTCCAGGGACTGGAAAAATGTTTTCCGTCCTACAACTTTCATATAATCTTTAATACTTTCAGGTTGCCCCAAAATAATGTTAGATGTTTATTGTAGAAATTTACTTATAATTGTCTTATATAAGTAATTTGGTTGTCAATAACCTTTACATCGTCAGTTCATCTAACGTAAGCTCTAACACTAAACATCAAATAAGATTGGGAATAACATGGGAGTTGGGAGGTATAGGAATCAGTTCAGCAGGAGTGTTACTAAACTACTTAGGCATTCGCTGTTCATATTCTCATTGTGAATGACATATTTTAAAAAGAGGGTCCTTTCACTAATGCTTGCTGGCTGCATTTCTGGTTTCTATAATAACTTCATTTTGGGTGTCACCTTCTGGAGTAGTAGTTGACCTATCTGACAACAGTTCTAAGTGATGAATGCAATGACCTCAACCAGGTTTTTTTCCTATAACAGAATTGGATGTGGATCAGACTCAATGCCCATACCTGCAAGATAGCTCCTATGTGTGGGACATACTCGCAAAAGTGGGAGCTTTGAACCATGGAAGGATAAGTACCAACATACTTTTACCTTAGTCTCCAATATCTATATTTTTCTTTCACTCTTCTTTGTCACACTGAAGCACAAGTCAACATGCCATGTGTAGAATAGTAATTTACTCTGAGAATTAGGAGATGAACACAGAACTGAATGTAAAAAGAACATTATAGAAATATTGGTTGCATATCTCACACACAAGCTTCAGAATTGATCCACAAGTGTCTCAGACCAAGGTAGATCACCTCTTTGAAATGATAGATACTTCTATGTAATTGTATCAACACTATACACGTCCAACTAAGCTACCAACGACCCAATTTTATTAAATAAAAAATATACATATGAAAACATCCTAGGCTTAATCACAATGCACAAATAAATCAGTCTTAACCTAGTAGGACCGACTCACCTTCTTTACAATATTAAGGCAGAGCGTCTCACCTGATCTATTCATTAACTTTAACAATTTGTAAGCTCCAAACCTACTGCTCAAACTCATCTAATTTGTAACCTACAAATGATAGCCACCAAGACCACAGTCAAGCAGTGAAACTAGTAATCCATATCTTGCACCAAAGGTAGATACTTACAGGTCCAACCACTATAACCATCCGAAATCAACATTAATAGGACTTAAAGGGGTCATTAAGGGAAAAAAGGGAACGTGTAAAGTTATTCCTGCCACCACACTAAAATTTCCAATCTAAATAACAGATTGGTGAAGTCCAAATGATAAAAGGATAACCAGGTTATAATTAAATAAAAACCAACATTAACTTTTGATTTCCTGTTTCTAACTGCACGTCACTCAACTGAACTTGTAGTCATCTATTTCTTCCATAGTCAATATAGTATTTATATTTTGGGCAATCTACATCTTCAGTCAACATACTCTAAAGCATATCTGACAAGAGTAATAAATGAGGTGGCAGACCTATCCCCACTCAACAAATGGGAGAGGTGGATAACCACCCTCAGGCGGAGGCCTTAGAGAGGGAGGCAGATTGCCCAGTGATGCTCCGGCCTTTTCTCTGAACACATCACCTGCTACAACCAAGAACGTCACGATTAAATTTAGAAGAAGAAAAACCACCAAGAGCATCAGCAGATTAACTGAGGAATTGGAAAAAACTCAACACCTGACATTTTTAAGTGAAAATAGGAAGAAAATAGATGCAAAAGCAATGCTTGCCTGGAAAAGAGGCCGAACCAAAAGGTTGACTACTTGAGTGAAAACCCTCTCTACTATTTTCCCCTGAGAATTGGATAAACAAAAAGGAATCAAAAGTTGCATGCACTGTGTTCTTCCATAGCTATTCAAATTCATAGGATATGATTTTACAATCAAGTATACTCCCAATTCAAGTGTATATCCATATCAAGAATTAATACTCCACAACTTAAAAGACTAATTCAGGTCAATCAAATCTTTTAGAATAACTACTAGGAATGAAAACTTAAAATTACAAGACAAAGAACTTCAAAAGAGTTGGTACATAAATTTTGAAATCTTGAATGAGAAGTTGTAGCATAACTAGATAAGTTCGTTTGACAAAATGCACACAATACTATTAACAACTTTTTTTTTAAAAAAGCACAGAATACTATTTGCACAAGTGAATTCTGCACATTGCCAAATCCAAGAAATTCAAAAGATTGATTCCCCAGTTCTTCTTAAAGCTCTGACTTCCCAAAAGTTAGATTACTTTCCTAAAATGTCCCTTTGAGATTTTAATAACATCCGACAAAAACCAGGACATCTTTTGGATGAGTGGCAAGGACAACCATTTCACGAAACAGCAAACAACATAAATTTTGAAATTGACTCACTATACCAGTTTTCCAATTCCCTTCCAGAAAGAAAACCCCAAAACCATTAAGAGTGTTTCAGGATATATTGATCCACAACTATAATTCGAACCCAGAGCACTTTCTGGACAAACTTTCTTAGACAGACCCTTCTGATTTCGTCACATCATCAATTGTTGAATGAACCAAAAATGTCCATCAATTTTATTTTTTTAGAATCATCAACATAAACTGCATAGGTTAAAAGCACTTTTCATTCTTCAAGGAAAAAAGAAAGAAAAAAGTTAAACGTGAAATGCAGTACTCTTTGAAGTGACAAGCCCAAAATATCTAGTTCATCGTGATAAAGCTGGTTATTGATAAGTATATAACAGCGACAGTTACAATGAAAGTTTGCTTTGTCCAGGTTGACGCCCCAATTAGTCTAGGGTACAAAATTCCCTAGGAACTGGATACTTACTTCCTAAACTTGCTAGTAACTAGTTATTTGTCCTTTGTTTATAGTTACTCGCAACTTGCATTGTAATGGTCCCACTTTTTGATTCACCTAGCAGCAGCAGTCTACAATGATCCAATCCCCCCGATAAACAAAAAACAAATAATTTTTCTTTGCAGAGCTACCTCATCTTCCAGCAAACTAGTCCTGGCAGACAAACACATGTGTGTCTCTCAAAAATAAGAAACAAAAATACTTTTTGAGGCCAATAAATTTATCATGGTGGCTAATATAGTTCTAGATTTAAGACATTAGTTGGTTAACAGTAAAATATTGAATATGAATATACACAAAACATACGAGAAAGATACCTGGAGGGAGTCCTGTTTGGTTCACAGTTTGAGAGTTTTGCTTGGGATGATAATATTTGCAGGAGTCCCCATACTGGCAATACCCCTTTGATACATGTAAAAGATATGATCAACAACATTATCCAACAAAGGGTGTCAAACACATAGAGTTTAGACTTCACCATCCCCAATCATTGTTGTTACTCCTTCAACATTTTGTGTCACATTGAAGTCAATAAGAAGTACCATCTGACCTTGGGCAATAACTTCAGGTGGATGAAGTAAAGCAACATTCACTTATGTTCATAACTTAGTGAATAGAAGTACTATCAGTAATGTTTATCACTTATCAGCATATTACTACTTAGTTTTTTCAACCAGAATGATGTGAATCTGCTAAAGTTACAAATTGAGCTAAGTTAGCAGATTATGAAACTCACCTACGACAAATCATACCATGCTCATCAGGTTGGAGACACAATTATATCATCAACACATTAAGGGGAAATCTAATCATCATGTTACTTGGCCTTCTATAGTAAATTATTCTTCGAGTTACCAAAGGGGCTTCTGTCGTAGAGAGTATAATACTCAAAGGCCAAAGCTCCAGAAACAACTTGGCAGTATTCTGAGAAGCTTATAGGCCTTACAAAACCTAATAGATTAAAGTAAAAGGCCTAGAAACCTCAAATTATATTTCAAAGTATCTTAGATTGCAACAATCTCTCTTTTTCTAATGGTAATTATGAAATGCATCAATTGAACTCCGTGTAGTATAACCAGTCCAATATTGCACCAATTGAACTCAAACAATGATGAATCCTCTGAATAAAAGATACTGATAATTCATATAACCAACTCAAACCAGTTTAAGATTGATTGATGAAATGTAACAATCTGACTCATCAGTCACTTTTGTTTCTTCCTCCATCACGCAAATTGAGCATTGCAGTAACATGGACAACCCAAAAGTGTCAAACAGGATAATACAACTTCTGACTCCGTATTTCTAAATTTTGCATACTAAAATATGAAGATAAGAGCAGTACCGTTCGAACAAAGTGATTGCATACTCCTTTACCGAACGAGTCCGGATCGTTGAATAACTGGGGATCTGTTATCCCAGAAAAATCCTTCATCAACGCTTAGAAATTAATTAACTAAGAAGAAAAAGGAGAAACTTACTGCGCAAGGAGTCGTACCAAAGAGCTTTGGCTCTTTGATGTTGAACACCTTGAAGATGACGCCTCCGAGCAGCTGCAGTATCCTGGAATTCCTTGTCGCAGTAATCGCAGTTGTATTTACCCAACGGCATTTTTTTCTAAAACTAAATTCCCAATGCCTAATACTAGCTTTTATACGTTTGTTTGCCTACACAAGTTTCCAGATCGGTTTAGTTTCCTTTTTTCCGGTTTTTTATCTCGAATAAATTGGTGAACATAACTTATACTCCCTTCAATAAATGAGAAAGAAACTTTTACAAGTAATTTGTAGCATAATATCATGACGTCAATGACCAGCTAAATGAGAATTGTAGTATATGGTTTTTCCTTTCCAAAGTTTCTCTTTGCTAAATGTTAAGAGAGAAAATTAAAATGTGGTAAACGTAACACTGCTTGTATTCTTTAACAAATCCATCGCAAAGAGTAATGTAACACTGCTTGTATTCTTCCTGGTTCAAAGTGCATTTTGTTAACTACCCCATTTTGCTTGACCTCATTATAATGAGATTAAACTAGGCAGGTTCAATTCATAGCACAAACAATTTCTAGAGAAAAACCAACAGTACAAATTTTACAATGATCCGCTTAAAGAAGTAGAAAACTCATTCTTCTCCACATCTGCCATTTTCCCTTTCCACTGCTGCAACTAATAGGCACCACACGCAGGCCAGTTCATACATCTGTTCACTGACAATATACTAGTGTGGAACAATGATTTACAAGTAAAGAAAACACTAGTGATAACAACATACCAGGTTAATGTATTAAAGTTAAATAGTCAGCAGGCTGTTTTGAAAATTGTCTCACTAACCAAAGGCCAGTAACTTGTTTAAATACCAAGTGTCTCAGGAGCCAATATCACAAGCGATAAAGAGCCATATCAACAGTCACCCTATCATTACTTTGAAATCCCATAATAATAAAGTTCACTCAAATTGTTAATTCTCAACCACATAATGTTACAAGCATAGGACATATCGGAACAGGGTAAAAGGAACACAGGTTGAAGATCGGGTATTTGTTAAAGGTCAATTCCCTACATCTGCTTTTACAAAACAAGATATAATAATAATAATACAAAGGGACAACAGATACATGGTAAGATAAGGGAAAGAAGGAACAAATTGATACAGAGAAGAAACACAACTTCAAAGGGTACACTTAAATTATTTCTATCACAAGGCAGGAACTCATAACCCAAGGGAAGGGCACTGTTTTCTGGCGTGCTCCGGAACCAACTTCAATAATATCTCTGCATGCACATTCTTCAACTCTGGTGACAAGAAAGCCAGATTCAATAGATTCAGTTGTAACTTATGGAAAGAAGCTAATCTGAAAGAAGTCTTGTCAACAACATACCATGAGCCTTGAAGTTAAACAAGGGAGGAAGAAAGCGTCCATTAGGCAGGCGTGTATTGGGATCACGAAGCTCGTCAAAAAAGGGGTGAACCAAGGCATCCAACTGCATTCAAAATTAGTACACCTCTCACAACTTGGAACTAGACAGAAATAGTCATACCATTGACAAATTAAACTACAGCTGCAGTGCTCTTCAAGAAATTCGGTGAAGCCTAAGACAAAGAAAAGAAAGACTGGCATGCTATGTTGAGCTAAAACTTAGATACTTTTTAACAACATAATGGGTACGTGTTCAACTTTTAAAAGAACATCACAATAAGTAAAACACTGAACAGAGATACAGAAAGGTGACCCCTGTATATTCTGTGACTAACTGACTATACATACGCAAAAGAGATTAGCTCGAACAAATAAATTTGGCATACTTACAGCACCGCAGCGCAAGTTAGGAGAGTACTGCAGCAGTCTTGAGACCAGATCAACTGCTTCTGGAGGCATGCGCTTATGGAATATCTGAAAATCAACATTAGAAATGACTTGTTGCCTTGTGTATGCTAGCCAGTTCTATGAAGGGGTTGGTTACGATAAGTAGTATTTCAAGTACCTTGTGCCATGGATGAGCTTTAATTTGAGGAAATTTGAACTCATTATAGTTGGGATTCATACATTTAATTTCTTCCCTTGTAGGAGTGCCCAAAACCTGCAAAATGTAGTAGGAGATGTAGTTTGGACAAAAAAAAGTAGGCGTGGGCCAAACTGAAAACAAATTAAGTAACATGGGCATGCAGCAAAAGGTTGAGTATCTTCTTAGCCATATTTATCTAAGACAACAATTGAAATGTTAATAATACAGAAAGCTGTCTTATTACTAAAACAATACTTCTACTTCAATATCTTTATCAAAAACAGTGACCTCGTCTTAGTTACAGAATCTCCGAATCTGAAACTGCTACACAAGCAGAAAACGAAAAAGTGTTGCGCCAGTGCGAATTCCTTAACATTCAAACAAAGCTCCTTCCATGAATTACAATCTAGAATCTAAAACAGTAGGACAAACTGAACTTAGCACAGAATCAAGCTAAGTTGCTCGGACTTTCCAAATATGTTGCCGCACCCGTGTCGGATCCTCCAAAAATGCACTACTTTTTAAGGATCTGAAACGCACTCGACATCATTTTTGAAGAGGCTGAGCAACTTAGGAATCAAGTACCTAAATTCACGGAACAGACCAGAGTAGAAGACAAAATCATTGGGCATTTACTATTCAAGTCAGAATCACATGTAAGGTATAATTGGTCAGAAAAAGCCCATCTCACCATCTCTGTGGTCTATTTGATTCACAAATCTTAAGCTTGGTTGATATGGAAGTTTGAAAGAGGTGGATCTTCACTTAATATCAAAACTCAGTCACAACAGCAGCGAAGCAATACTCAAGCTGAAAGCCAAGTTAATTTGTATGTATGTTGACTTTAGTTCTTATCTTTTCCTCTAATTTCCTTTTAATTTCCCTACTACATACATCTTGAAGAAATCTCATTGCTAAAAAAATCCCTAACATGATTAAAATGATAGGAATGTGCTAATACGGCCACTAAAAATAGCTATTATCTCCCCATAAGATACATTTGCAGAAAAAAAATCCGAGAAAGCAGAAATCACACAAGGGTTGCCCCAGAACATTGCAAGTCGAGAAGTAAATAACTCCAAAATAGAAAGGCAGGAAAGAAGGCCTATAAAAATTACAATTGGATGCAATAAATGAAAAGAAGGAAAAAAAACAAAAAGCGACAATGATGAAAGAAAATCAAGAACAGCAGAAAAGGCACAAAGGTGGAAATAAAGTTGGTAAGGAACTGCAGACAAGAAAGTCAAATAGACAAGATTACCTTAATGATCTCAACAAGCTGATCAACTCCACTTTCACCTGGAAATAAAGGCTGAAAATGGAAGAAAGCAAATAATGAGATACAGAAAATTGTCAATGTAATACGGAATACTGTCCACGAATAAGCTAATATTAGGAGAAAGTAACAACCTACCTGACCAAGAAGTAGCTCAGCTAGGACACAGCCAGCAGACCAAACATCTATAGCAGTAGTGTACTCTGTTGCACCAAATATGAGCTCAGGTGCTCGATAATACCTAGAGCAGATGTAAGAAATATTTGGTTCTCCTTTAACCTGCCAAAAAATTGGAGCAGATTTATCCAATCAGAAAATGCATCAAATAGACTCTTATGTTAGAACGGACAAGACGCAAAGAAAAAATGTAAACACACCAGAACTTTGGCACTCCCAAAATCGCATAATTTAACCTGGTGGGTATGTGGATTCACCTGCCAAAAAAAGTATCATGCCGTGGATTTTTAGTATCCAGAAAGAAATGTGAAATGCAAATGGAAAGAACAAATAGTCCTTAATAGCACTTGCTAACATGTTCAACAGTCATAAGCCATGAGAGTCGAGCAAAATAAATAAAACCCTTTCTTTCAAATTGGGAAGAAAATTTGCATCACTGTGTTACACAAAAATTCCAAAGACATCGGTTCTCCTTTTACATTTTGGGTCGCATCAAGCACTTCCTCTTTCATCATTACTTTCAAATATTCTTTAGGTTCCAGTCCCTTCAGGAGCCAATAAAGAGATATTATAAAGACAATTGCTAGCAAATTGATTAATTTTTTTTTGAACTATATATCAGCAAAGCAGAATAAATTGCCTGTCTAGGTTAAGGCCATAGCAAGTTCACCAAATATGTCAATATCAGTCTCTCGTAAAACTATCTTTGTAATAGAAATTAGAATCCATAACCCAATTGGAAGAAAAAATGTCAACCCAAGCACGTGAAAGCTCATATCAGCGCAGCAAAACATATTTTCACAGCACAATGTCCACAGACAAAATAAGACACGGAAAAATGAGCTCATGGTGGGTGCAAAGTTACATTCCTATCTCTCATTACATGCAGTACATCTATCTAGTTACATCCTTTTATTTCTCTGAGGGGATCAGTAGCTTAAAGCATTTACAAAATGCATGATTATTGACAACATTATAAGAAGAGTAATGAGCACATGAGAAAAGATTTTTTTCTCTCATTGAAGTAATCAACCAAATTGCATTATTCTTCTCCATATATCAAATCACTGACAAACTTAATACATATATTTGGTAAATTTTTTCCATACATTTGGAGCAGATATTCACATTAATATCTATTATAATGAAAATAAAGCCAAAGAGTGACCGGCAAGGTGGCAACAATATTTTTTTTAACCAAAAGCTAAAAGGAAATAAACAGTGAAGGCAGTGGAGTAGATAAGTATACCAAAAGATTCTGAGGTTTGATGTCCCTGTGGCATACTCCAATAGTGCGGTGTATGTAAGACAATGCCCTGAAAATCTGCCAGACAGAAACAGCATATTGTACTTCAGGCATGTTACATAATAGAACAACCTCAAGAAAATCATTAGCTATCAAGGTGCATTAATACAAGGTAATTGAAGTGAAACTAGTTTCTCATAATAAAAAACACAGTTTGATGGACTTCCCAAGGTTAGCCCATCTTCAAAACAAACAAAAGAACTAGAAAAATATTGGAACAATTTTAGCAACAATCTCTTGTCCAACATCTCACATATATGAAAACGAAGGAAAAACAATCACGTGTACAACAGAATTTGCAGAGGTCTCATAAATTGGGAGTTCATATCAAAAAGGAGCAATATAAATGACAACTCACTTTAAAAAAGAGCATACTACCTGATATGTATAAAGCTTCACAAGTATCAACGGCATCCTTTGGTTCAGCTTATTGTAGTGTTTGATAACACGGTGAACAGTTTCAGGTACATACTCAAGAACCAAGTTAAGATATAGTTCATCCTTATCAGTTGTGGAAAAGAAGCAGTGTTTC